AAGAAATGGATGAAAAAACAAAGCAAAAAATGCAAGAAATGGAAGAAAAAACAAACCAAAAAAGGCAAGAAATGGAAGAAAAAACAAAGCAAAAAATGCAAGAAATGGAAGAAAACACAAACCAAAAAAAAAAAGGGCAGGAAATGGAAGAAAGAACAAACCAAAAATTCATAAAATGCAACAAATGGATGAAAAGATAAACCGAAAATTGCAAGAAACAATGCAAACAATGCAAGGGTTGAAAACTGAAATAGAGACAATAAAAAAACACAATCTGAAGAAAGGCTGGAAATAGAAAAGCTGGGCAAACGGTCAGGTACTACCGATACAAGCATTACCAACAGAATACAAGAGATGGAAGAGAGAATCTCAGGTGTTGAAGATACACTAGGAGAAATGGATTCATCAACCAAAGAAAATCTTAAGTCCAACAAATAAATCATTAACACAAAACATCCAGGAAATATGGGACACAATGAAAGACCAAACCTAAGAATAATAGGTATAGAAGAAGGTAAAGAAAACCACGTCAAAGGGGCAGAAAACATATTCATTAACTCACCCATAAAAAGACACAGGCTAACAGAATGGATCCGAAGACAGAACCCATCCTTCTGCTGCATACAAGAAACATACCCCACCTTCAAAGGCAGATATTACCTGAGAGTTAAAAGTTGGGAAAAAAATTTCCAATCAAATGGACCCAAGAAACAAGCAGGGGTAGAAACTGGAGAATAGTTATACTAGAAAATTAACAGCACAGCTGAAAGCTCTAGAACACAGAGAAGCAGGAGGAGTAGACACCAGGAAATAATCAAATTGAGGGCTGAAATCAATAAAGTAGAAACTAGGAAAACAATACAAAGAATCAATGCAACGAAGAGTTGGTTCTTTGAGAAAATCAACAAGATAGACACACCTTTATCCAAACTTACCAAACAGCAGAGAGTGAACATGCAAATTAACAAAATCAGAAATGAAAAGGGAGACATAACAACAGACCCTGAGGAAATTCAGAGAATCATCAGGTCATACTTTGAAAACCTGTACTACACAAAATTCGAACATTTAAAGGAAATGGACAACTTCCTGGATAGATATCACTTGCCAAAATTAAATCAAGAACAGATAAGCAATTTAAATAGACCTATAACCCCTATGGAAATAGTAGCAGTCATCAAAAGTCTCCCAACCAAAAAAAAGCCCATGTCCAGATGGCCTCAGTGCAGAATTCTACCAGAAATTAAAAGAACAGCTTATGCCTATTCTCCTCAAAGCATTCCATGCAATTGAAGCAGAAGGGTCTTTGCCAAACTCTTTCTACAAGGCTTCAATAACCTTGATCCCTAAGCTACGCAAAAACACAAGTAAGAAAGTAAACTTCAAACCAATATCCCTCATGAACATTGATGCAAAAATACTCAATAAAATACTGGCAAATCGGATCCAAGAACACATCAAAACAATCATTCACCACGATCAAGTAGGTTTCATCCCAGGGATGCAGGGATGGTTCAACATATGAAAATCCATCAATGTAATCCACCATATAAACAAGCTGAAAAACAAAAATCACGTGATCATCTCACTATATGCTGAAAAAGCCTTTGACAAAATCCAACACCCCTTTATGATAAAGGTTTGGAGAGATCTGGGATAACAGGAACATACTTAAACATAATAAAAGCTATATACAGTAAACCAACAGCCAACATCAAACTAAATGATCAGAAACTCAACGCAATTCCTCTAAAATCAGGAACAAGACAAGGCTGTCCACTCTCTCCATACCTTTTCAACATTGTATTTGAAGTTCTAGCCAGAGCCACATGACAACAAAAGGAGATCAAGGGGATACAAATTGGGAAGGAAGAGGTCAAGCTTTCACTGTTTGCAGATGATATGATAGTTTACATAAATGACCCAAAGAACTCTACCAGGGAACTCTTACAGCTGATTAACACCTTCAGCAAAGTGGAAGGCTACAAGATCAACTCAAGAAAATCAGTAGCCCTACTATATACAGATGATAAAAGGGCTGAGAAAGAAATCAGAGAAATATCACCCTTTACAATTGCCACAAACAACATAAAATACCTTGGGGTAACGCTAACCAAACAAGTCAAAGACCTGTATCGCAAGAACTTTGAATGTTTAAAGAAAGAAATTAAAGAAGCCCTCAGAAAATGGAAAGATACCCCATGCTCTTGGATAGGTAGGATCAATATAGTAAAAATGGCAATCCTGCCAAAAGCAATCTACAGATTCAATGGAATCCCCATTAAAATCCCAGCACAATTCTTTACAGACCTGGAAAGAACAATAATCAGTTTTGTATGGAAAAACAAAAGACCCAGGGTAGCCAAAACAACCCTGTTCAACAAGGCAACGTCCAGAGGCATCACCTTCCGTGACTTCAAGCTCTATTATAGAGCTGTAGTCCTGAAAACAGCTTGGTATTGGCACAAAAATAGACAGGTAGACCAATGGAATTGAATTGTAAATCCTGATATTAACCCACACATGTATGAACATCTGATCTCTGACAAAGAAGCTAATAATATACAATGGAAAAAAGAAAGCATCTTCAACAAATGGTGCTGGCATAACTGGAGGCTGGCATGTAGAAGAATGCGGATCGATCCATGTTTATCACCATGCACAAAACTTCAGTCCAAATGGATCAAAGACCTCAACATAAATCCAGCCACACTGAACGTCTTAGAAGAGAAAGTGGGTGGTACCCTTGAACGAATTGGTACAGGAGACTGCTTCCTGAACATAACACTAGTAGCACAGACAGTGAGATCAACAATTAATAAATGGGACCTCCTGAAACTGAGAAGCTTCTGTAAGGCAAAGGACACAGTCAGCAAGACAAAGAGGCGGTCCACAGAATGGGAAAAAATATTCACTAACCCCACATCTGACAGAGGGCTGATCTCCAAAATTTACAAAGAACTCAAGAAGCAAGTCTCCAAAACACCAAAGGATCCAATTAAAAAGTTGGCTGCAAAACTAAACAGAGAATTTTCAATAGAGGAGTCTAAAATGGCTGAGAGGCACTTGAGAAAGTGCTCAACATCCTTAGCCATCAGAGAAATGCAAATCAAAATAACTCTGAGATACCATCTCACTTCTGTCAGAATGGCTAAAATCAAAGACACCAACGACAATTTATGCTGGAGAGGATGTGGAGAAAGGGGAACACTCCTCCATTGCTGGTGGGAGTGCCAACTTGTTCAGCCACTTTGGAAATCAGTATGGAGATTCCTCAGAAAAATGGGAATAAACCTACCACAAGACCCAGCAACTCCACTCTTAGGCATATATCCAAAAGTTGCCCATTCATACAACAAGGATGTCTGTTCCACTGTGTTCATAGCAGCATTATTTTTAATAGCCAGAACTTGGAAGCAACCTAGATGCCCCTCAGTTGAAGAGTGGATAGAGAAAATGTGGTACATTTACACAATGGAGTACTATTCAGCAGAGAAAAACAATGGAATCCTGAGATTTGCAGGCAAATGGATGACACTAGAAGAAACCATCCTGAGCAAGGTAACCCAGTCACAAAAAGAGAAACATGGCATATACTGTCTCATATATGGATTTTAGACATAGATCTGGGGAGTGCCAGCCTACAATCCCATGGCCAGAGAGTCTGGAAAAGAGAACCTTCATTCAGTGGCTGACGGAAGAAGAGGCAGGGCAGACTCCCACGGCTAAGCAATGAGGTGAACTCAAGAAATCCAGTGACAGAGAGGGAGGACTGATGACCAAACGGGTTAAGACTGAGCTGTTTTTAACCCCCAAAAACAGCTGACCTGACAAGGGTTAGCTCTTGAGTCCCAGACTGATGCCTGGGAATCCAGCATGGGACTGATCAAGACCCCCTGAATGTGGGTGTCAGTGAGGAGGCCTAGGTACTCTATTGAGCCTTGGGCAGTAGATCAGTATTGATCCCGGGTATACAAATAGACTTAGGACTCCCATCCAACAATATGAGATGCACTCTCACCCTGAACTCTTGGGGGAGGGTCTAGGTCCTGCCCTGGATGAAATGACAGACTATGGACACCCCCATGGAGGGCCTCACCCTCCATGGGGAAATGAGGGGATATTGGGGGAGGGTTGGGGAGGAAGGCACGGGAGGAGAGGAGGGAAAGGGAGAGGGACCTGGAACTAACTTGTGAAGCAACCTTGGTTCTCATTTAAATTTAAATTTAAAAATAAATAATAAAAACAAAAGAAAAACATACCTAAAGTGCTTTTGTAGCTACTAAGTATGTCTTATAGATATTATTGTTAACAAGTAATACTTGTCTTGCATAAACTTTGACATTACTTATCTTTAATAATTGCATTATTTTTCACTCTAAAGTTGTTTGGAAGCATTTATAGGCATGCACCTCTTTCGTGCACATGAAGACCCTGGGGAATGGATGCACACAGGTCCCTTAACCTTAGTACTTATTTGAAGTAAGCTGAGCATTGAAATATTGTTTAAGGTGAATGAAAGACATTGAAGCTCCAACATAATGTAGTTCGTTAAAGTGCTTGTCAGCATTACAATTAAAGTCTCACAAGATACAGCAGCATTTCTAGGAGGTATGGGTGCTATGAGCACTATGGAGTCTTTGTAGTAAGAAGACTGCCCTTTCTAGTTTATTCATCCTACTCTGATTTATGGATGGAGGTGAAAGGACTCATAGAATTTACATGTGATCAGATACGGAATTTTGCCGGCACTAACTTCCAGGCGGGAACGCTGCTCACAGCAAGAGTGACTTTGCCAACGTCATACGTCATACATTGAACAAGGTTCTCTTGAGACATTTTACTCAGTGAACACAGATCATTTATCTGTGATCTTAAGCTTTGGAAACTGTAATGTGAGGTAGAGCCACAAGATTCCCAAGGCCAGAAAGATACCTGATGGTATTTGCAGGATGGTTCTGAAGTTCATAGTCTCCTGCTGATTTCCTTCCTGTTTGCAGAGAGCAGCAACCTGCATTCAGCCTGTGTCCATGAGACTGCTGTGCACAGTCGAGTCTTCCAGATCTTATACAGGAATGAAGAAGTTCCCATAAATGACGCCATGCTCTTCCGGGCTCATTTCCTCTTAGATGGTGAGAGGGTAAGTCTTGATCACCTTCTAGCCACAAGAGGTTTTCTTTCCTGACTAACCATTGCCTCTCGCTGCTGGATTCAGGGTGAGTGAAGAAGTTACAGATTGATTCTGAGATTTGGTAAGAATTTGTGATTCAGATAGTCACCTGCTTCTGATATGCTTGCTTTTCTTCTTATTATTCACATGCCTGCTCATTCCGTGACACCTTGGTCACATGCAGCCACTCCTCACTTGCTGGAGTATACTCAACGAGGAATAAATGGTTTGGATTATCTGCTCTTTGCAAGCTCTGGGTTAGGTCATTGGGTAAGGCACAGAACTGTGAAGACAGCTTTAAGGTCTCTTGACTTCAAGGGGCTGATATCTCAGTTAGTGAGCAAATTTATAAGCATGTGTCTTGCTTAGCAAAACCGGCCATAGCTGGGAGGAAATGAAGTGGTCCATGAATAGAGAAAGAACTTTGAGGTGACCAAGCTGGAGCTGGAAATCATTTACAGAATACCTCCCTTTAAGACGCATGTACTGAGTCCATGAAACAGAGAACAGGAAAGAACCCCTTCCTGCAGAGAGGAGGGAAGCCAGACTGAGTTTAGAGGTTTGATAGGAGCATGACGAAAATATTTTCATTTGCTAAATTAACATATTTTGAAGGCCTCTGGAGTCTACTGTTCTTATTCCCTCAGTCAACAACTTGAATCTTTGTTGCTACATTCTGGCTGATTATTACACAATGAAAGAATTCATGATGTGAAGAATGTCTCTACTTTAAACAAACATGAGAGCACTCCTGCTCACCCCTTGCCCCATACTATACAGCAGACTCCTATTGAACCTTAAATGGTTGCTGTACTCTGGTTAACGGCTTCCTGTACACATCTTGTGTGATCTATGTAGTGAGGCTGGTCCTGGTTTGCAACTCATTGCTTGCTCATTAACCGAAGTATCTCTCCAACTAAGACTATGAGACAAAGTCTGTGCTGTGTGCTGAAGAGAAAGTAGCAAATGGGAGACTATGCTTTGGCACTGCTGTTTACCCATTAGATAAATGCACTGGTAATCCAGGCATCATTCCATCTCAATTGCCTAGTAGTCTCCTGCCCTTAACAGTTTAGAGTCTCTCAATTTCAACCCTGTGAGTTACAGCACGCTAACATTGAATAGAGAATGTGTTTCTAGGGCCATATTGTTTTCTTTTGCATGTCTCCTTACCTTTCTCTGTAAGCTAATATTTTTATTGTCTTACAGATAATCCATATGATGGGAAGAAATGTTTCAACTAATCAATATATCCCGAGGAGTAGTTGACTAAAGTGAACAGGACATGTCTGAAAACTGCATTTGAGATGAGCATACTAGCTCTTTTCAAATGTATGTCTGTTGATTTATGGAAATCAAAGCACTACTTATAGCCAGTGGCCAGATGCATGCAACAATATAGTGCACAACATATGTTTGAATGATGGGTGACTAGCCAAAAAATGCATTAAGTAAGAGAAGATTGAGTCTGTGCAGTGAGGACATGGATGAGAACCAGAACCCAAGTACAAAGAGAACTAACTAGAAGCTAAGGAATCTGATGGGATGTGTCACAATAAATCCAAACAAAGAGTGGCTGTGGAGGCCCTGTGGGTATTTTATTTATATATGCTGTAGTGACACAGAAGATTTAGGTGGACTTAAAAATACATAGAATAGTAAGAGGAAGGGATAGTAAAATGAGCCAGAGTCAATAACAAAGAAAGGGAAGGAAAACCATTCCCAAGGTAAGCACAACAGAAAACTATGTACTATGCACTATGGACTTTGCCTAATGGTATTCACATGTGGAAGACAAGCTCCCAGCAGTCAAGACAAACAAGATGTACAGATTAACAAGAAGATACTCAGCCCTGTGAAGGAGAGAAAGAGTAATAATGAACAAAATTACCTTAGATAGCAGTGGTTACCAGCCTGTGGATCATGACCCCTGCCAGGAGTCAAACCACCCATTAATAGGGTTCATATGAGACAGACTATCAGAAAACACAGAATTTACATTCTGAATCATAAAAGTAGCAAAACTACAGTTATGAGGTAGCAACAAAAATAGTTTTATGGTTGGTGGTCACTGCAACGTGAGAAAATATATGAAAGGATCACAGCATTAGGAAGATTGAGAACCATTATTATATAGGAATAGAAAATCTCTAAAGGGAGATTCTTTTGTACACCTATATGACAGAAGCTAGAAAATGCTTGTGCAAAATGCTGGTTCCCTAGGCCATCAATGACCTAGTGCTTCAGGGACTAGGAGGGTAGGGATGAGTTGATTCAGAGGTTGAGCAAATCCTCTTGAGTAGTTTTCCCGCAGGAAACACTCAGAAACTTTAGGAACTGAGGCAGCAGTACCCTGAAAAGTGGTAGAACCGTTAAGGATAAATTTGGGGCAGCAGGGCTTGGGATGGAGAATCTCCTCAAGTGGCACAGGGAAAGCACAAATGTGAATCTAGGATATGATATGGGGAACCACAGTCATCTCACCGAATACAGAATATTTGCCTTGTTCTGGAGCACTGGCTCTCAATCTATGGGGTCCTACCCCTAAAGGGTTCAAATATCAGTTATCCTTCATGTCAGATATTTACATTGAATTCATAGCAGTGACAAAATTGCAGTGGTGAGTTAGCAAAGAAATAATTTTATGGTTGGGGGTCAGCACATGTGGAACTGTGTCAAAGGGTCACAACATTAAGAAGGTTGAGAACCACTGTTCTAAAGGCAACACATTTGGGGATTCATTCAAGAGGAAGGGGCATGATATTGACCAAGTTACAAGTATGGGAAATGAGACCAAGGGCATGAAGACGTTTGGTGACGTTGGCTATGTGGGTGTTACTGAGCCTCAAGACAAAGACAGCGACAGTTGAACAGATACACAGGAAATCAACAGTCAAGTCACTTGACAACCCAATGGTAGCCCAGAGAGCTGAGTTCAGTTATACCCAGGAAATGTAGATAAGACAGTCTATAAAAATGGACTATGAGACTGTGCCATGCTCCTCCTGCTCCTACAATCTTTCCTCCCTCTCTTCAGCAGGATGCCCTGAGCTCAGGCTACTGTTTAGCTATGGGTCTCTGCATCTGTTTCCATCAGTGACTGGATGAAGGCTCTGTGGTGACAGTTGGGGTAGTCACTAATCTGATCACAGGGGATGGCTGGGTCAGAATATACATTCACTATTGCGAGGAGCCTTAGCTGGGGTCATCCTTGTAGATTCATGGAATTTCCCTTGTATCAGGTTTCTACCTGACTCTGAAATGCCCCCCTTCTAGTCTCTTTCAGTACTCCCCTCTCTGTAAACCACTTTAACTGAATTCCTCAAGTTCCTATCCCCACTTGCCCTAACTCCATCCAGGAAATCTTTTCTACTTCCTCTTCCCAGGGAGGTCCATGCATCCCCTCTTGGGCCCTCCTTATTCCCTAGCCTATCTGGGTCTGTGGATTGTAGCATGGTTACCCTTTCCTTACAGCTAATATCCACTTATGAGTGAATACATACCATGTCTGTCTTTCACTGTCTGGGTTTCCTTATTTAGGATGATTTTTTTCTACTTCCATCTGTTTGTGTTCAAGTTTCTTGGTGTCCTTGTTTTTAATAGCTGAGTAATACTCCATTGTGTAAATGTACCATAATTTCTTTATTGATTCTTTGGTTGAAGAGAATCTAAGTTGTTTCTAGGTTCTGTCTATCATGGAAAATGCTGATCTGAACATAGTTGAGCAAGAACATCACAAGAAAACCCACAGAAACAACTAATCTGGCTCATAGGAACTCACAGAATCTAAACCAACAACCAAAGAGCATGCATGTGACCGACGAAGGTCCTCTTCATATATGTGACATTTGTGTAGGAGATTCGTCTACATGTTAAACCCCTAATAATGGAAGTATGAGCTGTTCCTAATGCTTTGGCTGGCTCCTCATACTGGGTTGCCTTGCCCAGCATTAATAAATGGGAGGTGTTTAGTCTTACTGCAACTTGCTATACAACACTCCGTCAGTGCCCATGGGAGTCCTGCACCTTTCTGAACAGAAACGGGGGGGGGAGTGCATTGGGGATAGGGCAGAGGGGAGGTGGAAGAGGAACAAGAGGAGAGAAGGACGGGGAAATTGTGGTCAGGATGTAAAAGGAATAAACAAATAATAAATAAATAAATAGAGTGTACACCAGCGATAGTCCAATGTAGTTGAGGGAATCAAAGCATCTATTGAACAGTGATAGGAACTAGGTTTAGTTGTGTTGACCATTCACTGATCTTATCACCAGTAGCATCTCATATGTGTTAGATTAATTCTGTTGGGCTTTTTTCTGAGTGCTTTGTAATATCTCATTGAGTCACTGCAGTGTGGTTAGGGGGGGTTATCCATCACCCCCATTTGATGGATAAGGATAAGGAGATTTAAAGCTGTGGCTTGTCTTCGTCATACCACTAGAGTGTGGTAAAGCTGTTGTTTAAATAAGGAATTTAAGATATGTGTTTCTAAAGAACATGGAGGGCCACCATGTACACGTGGTGGGAGAAGGGGGTCTTCTGGGTGTTCAAAGTCAATGTCATAGTAGAGATAACCACAATCCCATCAAAACTGAATTGTTTAAGACTGACCAACCCTTTTTTGCACACTTTCTTATTTAGTTCATTCACCATAATGTTATAGAGTTGGTAGAATTACTTAACTCCCATGGAAAACAACTAGATTCAGTATCTGCACCGATGAATTCTGACTTTAGAAGCTGCCTCCTCAGCCTTCAGGCTACAGTGAACCTGGGGGGAAAAGGAAGAATCACTGTGATAAGCACGTTTGTGCCTGTAGGTATCTTGAAACTATAATATGTAGGCTTTAATAAACATGTATGTGTAGGTATCTTGCAAGTAAGGTTTAGCAAGGAACAGAGAAAGTCATCATCCAGCTCAGTCTAGTCCCAATTCCCAGAAAATCTAGTACTCACAGGAAGTTTTTGGTATCCAGGCAAATGCTTGCTTAGAAGGTGGTTAGCGAATTTACTTCTCCCATCTTATTTTCAGAGAGCCGGTAGTGAGAGCCTGTGTTCCTTTGGTTGTATACAAAGTTATATTTTGGTTATGCAAAATAATCCTAAGAGATTTTTATGGCAGTTGAATTCAGGAAATTGTTAGCTTTTAAGTACTTTAAAAAACATTTTAATACTACTTGAATTTTGCTTAACTAAGAATATCTTTCCAAATAAGCCTTTGGATAGGTGATGTCTGTCCCTGTGGGATGACAATGGTATTTTTGCAAAGAAATAAAAAACAAAATAGGTGACTGTGGGAGAACAGATTTATTCCTCAAAGATGCATCGATGCTGCCTCCATGACAGGACTTTATTCCTGTAAGCTGGAGTTCACAACAAATGTGGACTAATGTGTTCCTTAATGATAAGTCAGTTCGTGGAGACAAATGGCAAGAAAATCGCCAGGGTGTTTTGCCTCAGTCAGCGGAGTACTACCAGTGAGTGTGGTAAGCCAGTGGTAGTTGCAGAATTTGCCTGATCCAACAGAGCTAACAAATGTCAGCCCTGCCTTGCCAGATCCAAGGGATGTTTTGCTTATCCCCCTCCCCCCCGGGGGGGGCTATTAACCCACAATACAAATGTGAATGTGAAATTACCTAATTTTTCAGCATTTGTAACTTGTCCTAGCTTACAGGTTTCCAACTTATGACCTGAGAACAAGCCATTGTACTCAGAAGTGCTGAGTGTGAAGAGGGAGAGGAAGTGGCTTACCATGGGTTGCAGAGGAGGGCCAGGGAGCAGACAGGAGTCTAAACCCGTGGTGGCACCAGGATAGTGCTGACACTGAAGGAACCGGAGCACAGACAATGAAGCTTAGTGCATAGCATACAATTCCCCTAGAAATGTGAGAAAGGACACTTGGGGACACCATTTTGTGGGCATGTGAAAAGGATTGTATTAGTTCTTAATGTAAAGATAAGCAGAGATATGGATGAAGGAAGGAGAGTTTGAGATTTAACACATAATGTCAAAACTGAAGGAGATCTAGTCACCTTGGAAATTAATTACTTACCTGCCCGCATTGCCAGCTCCCACCCCTTCCCATGTGGATGGTGATGTGAGTCATGTGAGAACATTTGAGTTTAAGTTGTGAGTTCGTGCATCTCTAGACAAGGTTTGTTCCACTCTAGTTCACTCTCCCATCCTTCCCAGAGGAGGTGCTATTCAGTCTTTGACTCGTGCCTGGAATCCATGTCAAATTCATTTGAAAATGAGACTTAAAATGATTAAGTGACTAAAATTTATTTTCCAGTTTCTATGACAAAAATCAGCCAATAAGAGCAAGTCTAAAGAGAAGGAATTTATTGTAGCTCACATTTTAGACAGAGCCCGTCACGGCAGGAAAGTCAAGGTTGCAGAAACTTGGAGCAGCTGGTACATTGCGCCAAAAAACAAACAGAAAGCAGGGAGTACATGCACATGGAGAAGCTCAGCCTGCTTCTCCACTTCATGTAGCTCGGCATACCCAGCTTAATGTGGGTCTTCCCACATCATTCGACCTAAGCAGGACTATCTCCCATATGCATATTCAGAGGCTAAATGATCCCTCATAGATATGCTTTGAGATTTAACTCTTAGATGATTCTATATTTCATTGGCTTGACAATGGGGATTAAGCATTACAGGATTGCTTGTTTAATAGTAGTTGAAAATGTACTTTCACCAAGCTGGCTGTACAAATCCTTTGCTTCTGTTTTCCATCTAATATTACTATTCTGATAGTCCAGAACTAAATATCTCATGCACAGATATCCCCAGTACACTTTATACTCAGATCTTGTTTCTCTTCTCTGAGAAGCAGTCAGCTAAATGTGGCAACTGGATCGCTGGTGGCCTGCTGACCTCTCGTGGTCTTTGTCTTTCAGATAGAAGACGCACTGAGTGAGGTCGGGTTTCAGCTCAAGGTGGACCTGCACTTTGCGGAGAGTGAGCAGCAGTGAGTGTCGTGCACATCATTGGTCTGCATGGGGGGGGGCTTCTTCCTCAACCCCTTCCTCATGCTGAGGGCTTCCTGAGAACTAGAATCCTCATTTATATCGAGTGACTAGTTATTAGTAATCTGCAATGTCCCTCAGTAATCCCAATTTATGGGATAGACATTGTATGGAATAGGACTGATAGCATCACACACACACACAGAGACAGAGAGAGAGAGATTGAGATTAGATTGACTCTCTAGTGTGGTGCAGATAGTCCGATAATGGCTGACTCATGCACGCCTTTAATCCCAGCACTCGGGAGGCAGAAGCAGGTGGATCTCTGTGAGTTTGAGGTCAGGCTGGACCAACAGCCTCCAAAACAATACAGAGAAACCCTGTCTCATAAAAACCAAAAAAAAAAAAAAGAAAAAGAAGTTGGAAAAAATTGCTGCGGTTACCAGTGGAAGAATGATACCGCCACAGAATAGATAGACTTGCCAGCAAGAGTGAGAGGGAGTAGGCAAAAATCAGAGTTTCCTTCTTCTGTGTCCCTTTATGTAGCGGCCACAAGAAGGTGCTGCCCAGATATAAGGTGGGTTTTCCTGCTTCAAATAAACTTACCAAGAAAATCGCTCACAGGAGTGCCTGGCAGCTTGGGTTCTAGCTGATTCTAGATGCTGTCAAGTTGACAGCCATGCTTTGCCTTCATAGCATGTCTGCCAGAGCCTGAGAAAGCTCATTCATTTGGAGCCAGGCTGCTTGGGTTCTGCACACAGAAAACTACTGTCTTCTTAACATATTAATGGGTGGCTTCTACTTGAAGCATTTCTTTTCTATGTGGTACTGAGTTGGGGGTTTTAGAGTAATGTCTCCATGTGTGAGACAATCAAAACCCCTTTCCAATAATCTTTCCTGTTTTTCCATGTGTTCACACTGAACATCCGCTAGTGTTCTTCAACTCTCTGTGAACTGAAACTATTTATATAAAACTTGCTGAGAAAATAGGCAGGGAGCAGTTCCCTTTCTCTTCTTAACTGCTTCCTTCAAGTTTGTTTCATGGCCTCTTCCCCATAACAGGGGCTGTGCTACTTGCCTCTTAATCCTTTCTCTATATTCTTTCAGTAATTAAATAAACAATTGTTTTCTGTGGTATTAGAATGTGTGACATCAAAACTTAGTGCTCTTGTCCCACTTAAGGTTTCTTTCCACTCGATCAGGCCTTTTATAGCACAGGTTGATCTCAATGCACTTTTGAGGTGGCAGGAGACTTTGTATTTCTTTCTTGGCTTCCTTTGCCCTTACCTCTGTGGTTTGTAGATCGGGCACAGTGAGGAAGGGAGATGCAATAAGGGCCAAGAAATCGCATCTGAGTGCTAGTAAGTAGGGTCATTTCTAGGGTAAATGTTCAGTCATCATTAGGTTTCTAGTGAGCTACTTGATGGTATGACCATTATGCACACATCGATCCCAACTCTGCCCTGTCCTTGAAGTCTCCTAATAAAGTCGAGCCTCTTGCGGCCACCCAAGACTTCTAGGAAAATATTCGTGTCAGATCCTCTCCATAGAATCCACTGTGGTCTATGTGCGCTCACATCTAGTCTCTTCAAATTCTTCAACATCCGCTTCCTTGTTCCTTTTGGAGAACAAGAACCAGGGGATGGGGGCTACGAGTAAGAGTGCCAGAATACGGGCTAGTAGTGGAACAACAGGTGCCTCCCCCACCCCTTCCTTGGAGTTAAGACTCCCTCTCTTTATGACTCTCTTAAGGGTGCTCACGCCAAAGAAGACTCAGAACAAAAGAAGAACCTCTACTAAGATGTCAAGAGATCTGGTGGTATTGAGTCATTGAGAAGAAACATGTATTAAATTGTAGCTGATAAGACGTGGTCCTTGGGCGACAGGAGTATTCATGTTCCTGACATAGTGTCTGGGCTCAACAGCACACATTTCTCCCTTGAGAATTACTTGTGCACACACACACACACACACACACACACACACACACACACACACACACACACCTCTGCTTTTTTCCAGCTAAGAATCTTCAAGATGGCATTTCCTCTATGATGGTGGATACTAAAAGAAGTCCATCTACTTCTCAGTATCAAAGCCCCTGCTTCCATTGTTCTCGGGACTCCCTGTATGATCTGAGATCTCTGTCATCACCTCTCTAGCAATCACCCAGGCTGAGGCCCCTATACCTTGTGGTTTCATGGACTTCCATCCATTGCTCGGCATGGCACATGCCCATCTGGATGTAGAACCATGCCATCAGTCATAAACTTAGCACAGAAATTCTTCTCTGGAAATGTCTTGCAGTAGTTTAAAAAACATATCACAGTAGATGCTGTAAATTAGTTTTTTTCTTGCCAGCAGAAGATCAGTTAATGGAGAACCTGATATAAGAAACTGGTCATACAAAAACCTGTGAAATATGACCACTTAGACTCAGAACTCTTCAACTAAGACACATGGGACAAATCTCTGTATTGGACATCAGTCTTTCAAGCATTCTTAAGTTGATTAGATTTATTTATTTAGTCACTTTTCTTAGCAGCATGTAGAAAACAAGCAAAAAAGAACAAAATGAGAGGTGTTGTTTAATCAGAGTTAGACAGGCTAGTGAAATCCCTCTCATATATTAGTGGGACAATGATGTCCCATACTTTGGCCATGTCAATAGACATTTGAGGTAGCAGTGATGCTGGCTAGCATATGGTGGGTAGAAACAAAGGTGCTGTTAAATAGTACAACACACCAGGACAGCTCTGTTTCTCACCAAAGCTTTATTCAGTTCCCAAAATCAGTATTAATGAAACAGAGGCATATGCTGAGGACCATCATCCTATCTACACTCTCTGATTTAGAATGGGCCATGAGTACCGGCTTGTACAGGACCAAGATGCTCATCACTACATAGCCCAGCCAGTCTCTGCACAGCTCAGCAGATAGGAAATTCTTCAATACTTATAGAGGTGATTCATCTTTCTATGGGTTATCTCTGTTGACCTTAATTTTATTCCTTGCAAGTGGGCAGAAGAAATCTGTCTGGAGTGCTGCTCTTTCTGTGGGATATTAATTTTGCTGTTGTTTAATTGTTTTGTCTGCTTAGTTCCTTTATAAGAACCTCAGGCATTCTCTTGCCTCGTCCACCAAAGTTAACCTCCATCTTCTCTACACTGAGATTCCCTAGGAAGTGGGCTTCTTCTCCATAAATGGATACTGTCCATTTCAGAACACAGAACAGTGAGCCCTTCTCCCCTTACTTCTGAAGGAGGCTTGGGTTATGCTTAACTTCTTGTTCTCACTGCCAGGGGCCAATGTCTAAATGAGCTCACAGCAATACTGTGCAGTAACAGCACAGAGGAGACTCAAAACTCCTGGTCTGTCATGGCAGCTTTTTTTCATGACTGTGAACAAGTTAAATAATTCACATTATTTTCACTTGTTCTTTTTGGAGTAGAGTAGGATGAGCAAGCACATTGAATGCTTGTCTTGTTGGGGAAAGCAGAATGTCCAGTCCACAGTTAAGTTTCAAACCATTGTCCAAATTCAAGTGGCATGAATGGCTGAGCTGACAGCTTGCTGACACCCATGGCATGGAGTCTCTACTTTTCTTTGTCTTGTGTCTTCCTGGTTAAAACAAAGAGTGTGTTACACGTAGTCACAATGGGCACCAAGGATTCAGTGGCTGGCATCCATGATCTACATGACACCGGGTTGGGCTGTGGGAGCCTTCACTGTTTCCCTTCCCTCTCTGTAATCTATTTGCTTATCCATGCATGAAGAAGAGATCCTCTGTTGTCCCCCTGGAAGACACTCATGGTGGCTGTCCTCAAGCTCTGGCTCTCTGCAACCTGCAGAGCCAGAGACTGCTTTTAGCACTTACACCTAGAGAAAAATTAGTCTTCCTTTTTGTAGCAGTATGCTTCTTTGTCTGCCTGTGGTTTGTCTCTCAGAGTTGAGTATGCACTGATTACAAAGTGCTAGAGGTAAGGGGTGACATCCTGAAGCTGGTCAGACTGTTTCAGCACTGAGTTCTGGTTCATTCAGTCAGCCTGCTGTCATTTTCATGACCATGGACTTGATCACCTTTTCCATCTTGTCTGTACCAGTGACATGCTAGACATGTAAAGATGAGTTAGTCACAGCTCCTGTCATTGGGGGTTTGAGACCCAACAGAATTCACAACCTTACAAGATCTGCATAGCATTTTAAGAGCAGTGCTCATCCTATGGGAGTAAGAAAAGGGGGAAATAAGAGATTTGCAACCATGAGAGGAGTCTTGGAATGATCTGGTTATCTTCACCATCTCTGAGGCTCAGGTTTACAAGCAGGCAGTGACAGAGAGCTGAGGCCCAGATCTGCTATGTAAACTCCATTCTTCATTTTGCCAATTGTGGGAAAAATTCTTTCAGCCAGGCAGAATATTGCAGGATTGAGTACGATGATGAGGCTGTAAAGTAGAGCTACTTGAGTGACAGTAGAGTCCACCAACCTTCCTCATACGAGCTCACTCACTTGCCTTTCAGGCTGAGAGATGTGACTGGGACACCGGTGACCAGCAGTCGCACACTTGGCCTGCACTTTCACCCCAGGAGAGGTCTGCACCATCAAGTCCCTGTCATGTTCGACTACTTCCACCTGTCGGTGATCTCAGTGACCATCCATGCTGCCCTGGTGGCTCTGCAGCAACCTTTGCTCAGGTACAGAGTTAGAGGTAGCCCTAACATTCACCTCATGCATCACTAAGAGACATAGACTGCCACAAGTGATCACCACAAACCAGAGAAGCTTGTCCATGGTTGCTGGCTTAAGCTTGGGGTACTCATGTGATCCACAGAAGAAATGGGAGAAAGCTTGGGAGTGTCTCAGAACCACAGAGGACACTGGGGGATTTTAGGGGTAGAAGACTTGTAAACTATACCTCACTCCTCAGGGACTTGGTTTCTTCCTCTGGATTCACTTGTCTCTAGTTGTGCCTTGAGAAGCTCCTTGGGTTTCTCTGCTACATAATCTGTGTGTAAAATTAAGAGCACCAACATCTATATAAAGCTTTGAAATTTTTAAAATTAATTTGATATTTTAGAGTGTCTACAAGGTTTCCAGAACTTTGTTGTTTAATATTCAATTTAAGCCTAAATGATTTATACATTGACACATTTTTATGTGTATGTAACACATTCTGATTATTCTTACTCCCACCTTTTTCTCTCCATCTCACTCCTCCTTTCTTGTCTACATGTTCCTTTAACACATTCATGTGTTGTGTTATTTTATGACACATTGAGTTGATGAGGGCCATTCATGTGACGTTTTAGTGAATCCCAGTGGAGACAGGGCTAGTACATAACAAGGGTCCAAATCTGTTCCTTCTCCCAGTTTCTGTTTGCTCAAATGGAGTTTGCTTGTAAGATAGTTTGCCTTTGCCTTTCATTGGCTCACCTTGCAGCATCTCCAAGGTGCAGAGCACCTGGATTTCATTAATTGTACAAGGGAAGGTATAGAACTCTTGAAAGCTATTGTGGTGGGCTGGCAAGGCTAAGTGATTTATGAAGGCAGAACTGGATTTCATGGTGGAAGTTTGGGGAAGTGTTAACATTTAGCTGTGGAAAAGTCTGTGTAGCAGTTAAATCAGAGAATACAGCAAAGAACAGAGAGTGGGAAAGTGAGAGAGACAGACAGCTGGTAAGCAGCAGCTGTGAACCTAGAGCTGAAAGCCAGGGTCAAATAGTTTGTGGTCGTTTGTGCCTAATGTTCTCCTGCCCCAGATTTTGCTTGGCTCCTAGATTGAAGATGATCCTAGACTTAAGCTCCTAGGTTGAGAAAAAAGAGGGACAAGGGTCAGGGATCTGCACTTTTCAATCTTTACTTCTAGTGGGTGTCTATGGAGGGTCTACTGTGCTCCAGCGGAGGCACCAGGATGCAGTCACATAGCAAGTTTGTGAGGAGCATTCAGCATCCTCAGAACAGACCACTTCTGCAGACATCTGAGTCCAGTGAGTGAGCTGATATGTGTGTGTTGGATTACATAGGGTGAGTGTTATAGTAGAATGTTAGAAAAGTGTTGCAGTATAGAAACATGGGAACAACCACGACCCTGGGAAGATGCAACAGAAGTAGAATCTAGAAAGTAGAGGAGTACTGATCTCCTGCAAGGCATGCACCCTAGTTGGGTGGTTCCTTATGATCAGGGCTGCTTCAGTGCATAGTTCATGGCGGGATCTGTGTACCAAGTGTAAGGTAGAACAGGTGTGCCCTGAGATCAGTGGAGACTGTTCAGCTGGAGGTTAAGCAACCTCCCAGATGGGAAAGTAAGCAACACTTCCAGGGGTCCTGGGTCCCACAGAGTAAGCTATGCCTGTGAAGCTAGAGTTAGGAGCATCTATCTGCTTAGTTCCTCCACTTACTTTCTGGGCGATATTTGAATAGTTTATCTTACATCTCTGGGTATCTGTTTCACCATATAGGTGCATACATTTACATGTAAACAAATAATTTTATGATAATAAACCAACAGATATCAAGGCTGTAGACTATTTCACATGATGAATATGTATGTAATAAAGGCTCTTGAAGCAAATCTAGCAATATGGAAACTAGCAATTCTGATATGCATGTATTGTGTCCCTGGCTATAAGAAAGAGTCCGTAAGTAATTAAAGTGGTAAGCTTCCAAACTGAATGGTGTGCAAAGTTCTGGGAAGGCCTTTATAAGGTAGCAGTTAGAATAATGGGTCTCAGGGCTGGGTGCCCCTCCCACCCCTAACCCCGTGCCAAATCTGAGAGTCTACTTTCTAACTCTGTTCACTTGGGCATGTAGGAGTCCATTTCAGTCAGAGTAGGAGAATGTTGGGAGGAGTCATTGACAGCACAGGGGAAGCTCTTTAGTATGTATGCATCTAGGGTATTAATTTTTGTATAGCATCCACCATATTTTGGGCCACCCTGATAAGTTCTTCACAAGTGGCATGAAGCTTTCTGCACAGGGAAATGCACCTCTCCCTATGTCTCTGAGGAAAGCTTTACAGAAGGCATGACTCTACCCAGGGAACAAGAGAGTGTGACAGTGAAAACCGAATCTGGGAAGGTAAATTGGAGTAGGATTTTGACAGTGTAATTAATCATGCATTCAGGGATTGGACCTAAATTAGTTAAGTGTGCAGAGGCACTGAAGGCTCACACCTCAGAGCAATCCTCAAGGCTTATTCCCTCAAACTCCCTCAGGCAGGAGTTTCAACGGTGCAGTTGGGAGGACAAGTGAGATATCCAAAGGGTTCCCAGCACCTGACATCACCTTTTGGCTCTCGTGCTAGGAGCTCTGATGCTAACTGTGGGTTTGGAGCCAGATGTCTTAGCAGAGAGTTTAACCTTTCATAGGAGTAGACTCTGCAGATTCATAAGTGGCAGCTTTCCAGATGGGAGCACACACAGCTGCTGGAGAGTTAAAATTCCCAAATGCTGTAAAAATAGAACCGCCTTCCACTCTATGGGTTTTGCAAGGAGAATTTCTGTCTTGACACAGAGTACTTGGGAACAAAGGGAACCCTTTAACCTTGTGGGAAATACCTGTCAAGTAGGGCAAGCACCAGCTTTTCCAGAAAACCACACTTGTATCATCAGTTAGGTCCAACAAAGATTCAGCAGGTGTTAAGCTGAAATTTAACCTCAGGAGACCCTTAACCTTCACTGAGAAGGAACAAAGAAACTCCAATTTTTGATCTTCAAATAGGTAAAAACTGAGTGTCTCCTAGCTCACCCTCTAGTAGAGATGCCAACTCAAAGCCATAATTAAATGACAAGTATTTAGTTATTTGTTAGCAGATATCCCAGAGAAGGAGTCATGATTCTTTATGTACACACATTTGTTTCTTCTAGAATGTCCCTCACTAAGGTAGGGCATCCTCAGGTGCCAAAATACCCAGAAACTCAAGACACTCATATGAAATATGTTTTCCTGTAACCTATATGTATACTACTCCTACACACTTTAAGTTATTCCCCAAATTACTTATGATAACATTGCAGTAAAAATGGGGGTTTAAATAAGATTGGCATCCATGAGCCAATATGCATGTTGATGTGACTTTTAATGCCATTATAGTATCCAAAATAGTTACTAGCTTTTATTCAATATCATTATCCACTAATAACTTTTGCCAATATAATGCCTCATGGCTTAATTATTAATCCTTCTGACAGGAGATGAAGTGGGAGGTTCAAATCCAGCCTAGGTCCTAATATGTAGGTAACTTCTGCTAGCTGGTGTAATTGCCACATAGTTGTGGCTGTCCACTATGGCATACCACTTCTGAGTACTCAGCCCTTTCACCCAGTTCACCTCATAACCTTTTCTCTGCTTACTGGCTGATGTGTTAGCCACATCACATTACAGCACTGACTTTTTCATTTGAGTCCCTTTCTAGGCCAATGTGTGTTTAAGGTGAAGGTGACATATTTACCACCTTGCCACTGTAACACCTCATGTACTCTTTGGCTTGTGGCATGAGACTAATAATATTTGAATAAGTGAATTTAGTAAATATCTAACCTTAATTTTATATCTCTGCCAATATTGCTACCAGGAATATTAGCTGCTTGTCTGAAATCTGCCCAGTTATCTCAAGCAACTAGACCAAAGATGGTAATATCTGAGAAGATTTATGGTGGAGGCTTTTTTTTGCTATGAGAGACTAATAGTCTCTTTGGAAGATTAAAATTGCATTTGTAGAATAAAAAAATACATCTAAAGAAGGCATTAGACTTTTAATTTCTTTAGAATTTCGTTCTGTATTTACATTTTTACCCCTTCTCTCTCCTTTCCAACTTTTTTCTGCGTCCCTTCTACCCCACCTCATGTTCATGATCTTTTCTTCTTTAATTATTACCATTACATTTATACATAAACCTAATGAGTTCATTTGATATTGCTCATACATATGTGCTTACGGATTACCACCAGTGTTAGATAACCTATCCGGTGGCTTGTCCCTGCAAAAGAATAATTCCCCCCACCTTTAGTTGCCTGTAGCACTTCATTTAGGGTTAGGGTCTTGTGAAATTTCACCTATGCACAGTGGCATGGCAACTGGTATACTCACTGTGCAAGCCTTGTTTAGGCAGCTGTAGTTTTGAGATTTCATGGGTGCAGATTTCCTGTCATATATTGAAGACATGATTTCACATACCACCCTGAATGTATGAAATCTCATCTAAGTCAGTAGATTTTTAATAGATGAAACTTTTCAGGAAAGAAAACTTAGTGTAAGCAGGTTTTTTTCTGATATATTACAGGAGGAAAATCACATAGGCTAAGGTAAATAGTATGACCACATACCCAAATATGATAAGCCACATGATCTTATCACATTGCCAAATCTCCTTTGAGCCTAAGATTGGTCATGTCCAGCACACCTGCCAGGTGATCTTTATAATGAATCAGAACTAGGCAAAACCCATGTATTTTTTCTCTTGAAAAGATTACAGTGTTCCCAGCTAGGATAGATATAGGAAATGTTCTGTTGGTTACAGAAGTCTAGGACATATCACAGGATTCCTCTGCATGGATCACGGAAATGAATGATGTTTTGTGTCTTCCATAGGAAGGTGAGTAGAAGCAGGGAGGGAACTGAGGCTAGAAGGAGCTCATGCAGAGCCATGACCCCTGAGGGCAGAAGCAGATTTCAAGAGCATGATTAACTTTGGGGTGGTCCTTCTACTCTGGCCAGGAGTTCTTTCTGTCTGCCTCCCAGGATGATGATTCCCTAGAACATGGCCTCAGGACATAAGGCATTGGGGTACCTCTCTGTACCTGGAACACCACCTAAGTCTATACCACAGGCTCCTCAGTTGCAGCTCCCCGGGGAGCTGATGATAGTTTACTCACCTCCTGTTTTCCCCTTCCCCTTCTTTCTAGTTTCACCCGTCCAGGAAGAGGCTCCTGGTTAGGGAAAGGTGGCCCAGACACAGGACCAGAACAGCCCGTTATTTCTCTGGAGAACTTGGTCTTCGGAGCTGGATACTGCAAGCCAACTTCCTCAGAGGTAACGTGAGCACTGGGAGCCATGACCCCAGAACCGCGATTCTGACTCTGAAAGAATATGTCCTGTGAGTTTCCCTCTTCTTTCAAATGTTTCATTAGGGCAGCGATTGTTCATTTATTTCAAGGTCCATTCATCCTTTCACTTTTCACCAGTTATCTTCCAGATGCATTCTGAGTGTCAAGCCCTGTAGTAAATATTCTTCTCCTGTTGTCCCTCTTACTTCTAGTCCTTTTGAAGATAAGAGCTCTCTAGGTGATATTACTGTGAGGATGTCCTCTGAACACTATGTGATGATATTGAATGTCTGTTGCCATTGGGTAATGCCTGCTTTCAAAACCTGGATCCAACTCTCTCCTCACCTCTGGGGTGGCATCACTAAGAACTACTAATCTCATTGAAGTTATGTACACCCAAAGTTGTTCCAAATGTAAAGTTGCTTGCCTAGTATCTGGTGTTTAGGGGCTGCTTAGTAAAGAAATATGTCTACCTTTCCATTCCCTTTGCTTCTTCCCAAGAAGTATCTGCCATTATTCTCTTCTCATCACTGCATGAACACATGAGGCATTTTATTAGCATATTGTTCAGAAATAACCAGTGGTATTACTCAGGGTTGTCCAGACATATAGAACCGATAGCAATGACTCCTTCATTATTGTAGTGAAGTGACTCACATCATCCTGGAGGCTGAGAAGGCTGTAAATATGCTTCACCAAGCTGGAGACCAAGGTGAATTGATGGCAAAGTTCTAGGTCAAATGTAATTCCAGAAGCTGGGTGACATTATCACTTATGGAAAAAAAACTGTTTGCTTTGTCATAGTCAGATACTCAGTGGATTGAACCAGTCCTGTCACACTGAGGAAGTTCTCTTCCCCTCAGGTGGTTCTTTGTTCAGTTCATCCAGTTGTCAGAGACACCTGTCCTGGCATCCTCAACAGTATTTAACCAAACATCTAGACACCTTATGACCCAGATAAGTAGATACAAGAAATTTACCGTTGTCAAGCAAATGGCAGGCATGTGAAAGACTGTGCCTAGCCAGCCCTGTCACCTTGAGGGACAGAAGGCTCTTTGACCAGACTGTTGAAGATTTGAGGTAAAACAACCTACTTTTCTGGATTTTCCCTAGTTTGAGATCTAGTGCGGGGACCTGGCTGCAGATGTGAACGTAGTCACATCTCTATCTGGGCTAAGCTGCTGTGTCACATGTCTTCATGGTTCTGAGGTCTCCAAAGGGGGACAGCCATAATTGCCCTGAAAGGATGGGGAATTGAGTCCAAAGTAGGACTTGTTTTCTTACATGCAGCTGGCATTGGAGAACAACAAGAACAGAATGAATGCATACCCTCAGTACCTCTACACTCACCAAACTTCATGGAAGCTAATGTGCTTGCTTCTTACACAGGAGCCTCAAATGAGTGAGGGGAAGATAGGAAAGCTAAGAGTCTGCCTGCATAGCTTGGGCATCACCAAATTCATTTCAGCATAGGGTGTGGCCTGGATAGAAGGCTGTCCACCCCCAATGCCTACAACAGACCCTTAATCTCTCAGTAGATATGAGGTATGTCCCCAATGTCATCTGTCAATTCCCTTGCTTCTGGGGCATTGACAGCCACCTCACACACAGGAACAATTGTTCTGAAGAGTTTCCAGTCACAGTTCAACTTTCCTTGTGCTGATCTCTGCCTCTCTAACAGCACTATGTGATAGCTGTAAGGGTCTCCCTGACAAGCTTACCATCTAAAAACCTCCACTTCAGACTCCTTCTGAGGAAATATGACCAGAGACATTGGTAATTGTTAGCATGATGCCATTGAAGTGTGTGATATAACACAAAAAAATAAAAGACCCAGATACTGATATTGGGGTTCAAGCTTCAAGCTGAAGATCAGAGAAGCAAGCCAGCCAGCCACTAACTCTTATTATACCTCAGGCTGAAAGGTGATCCTGGCTCCACTAAACCTCAAACTGAAATCCCAGACTGCTATGCTCTCCTCAACATGTCTGGAGAATCCTAAGACTCAATGTCATCCTATCCTCAATGTGACTGGAGAATGAATGCCAGCTCTGGAACCTTGATCCTGCCTTACATAACTCTCTAATGCTGGGATTAAAGGAGTGTGATCCCAGGTGCTGGCATCAAAGGCATGAACTCTGTTACTCTTCATTCTTGTGTAGACCAGGTGGCCTTGAACTAACAGAGATTCATCTACCTTTTAATCCTGAATCATGAGGTTGAAAGTGTCTACCACCACTCTCTGATCTCTATAGCTTGAGGCTGACTTTGCTTTCTGAATCCTCAGGCAAGCTTTAATAAATCATAAGTAGTATATCATTACAGTGTGATGCTCCATCTACTTGGGAGGGGCTCTGGAGCTCAGTGGCATTTACATCAGCCAAAACCATTTATACCAACACTGCTGAAATGGTGCTGTCTGATTTCCCAAATGTTTGAAGGATCTCAAGCTATCCTTTTCAGAAGCTCTGCTTGAATAGCTCAGAGTAGGGACCATCTCATCGAGTTTCTTCCCCTAGGACCTAACAAGACACCTGCCCTTCAAAACCAACACTCAAGTAATGATGTTGAATGAAAGGTTGAAACAACTGTGTGCATCGTGCTGGTGCAGAGTTGAATAGCCAGAGATTCATGAAAGAGATCACTCACTGCAGCAGACAGAAAGTAAGGGAGGGAGTCATAGTATGATAGGTCATGTTGTGAGATTGTGTAGACTCCAGAGCCAGAAACAGGCAGGGGAGTGAGCACTGTAGAACAGCCTCACCCACTGAACCTTTACACATGACTTAGCACACTGTTTGAGACTATTGTGATATGTCACCTTCTGTGGCAAATATTTACAACTTGTGGAAACTTGGTGCTTCCAGAAACTCAGTTTGTAAAGCTGTGAAATGGGGACTATGGGGACTGTCCTTTAGAGATTTATATGTGTAAATACTTTACATAATTGGGTTTGGCAGGCAGATGATGCAGTATAGTGAGGGTTTGTTTGTTTTCTATTTCTTTCTTGGCTGCTTCTGAGGCTCTGTGTCAAACTTTAGCATGCTTGTCTTTCATTTGTTCAGATAGAAAGGCCAACCAACGAGTCTTGGCACTGGGCTTTTTCCTGAGAGTTGGCTCAGTGAGTTGTTTTCAGGGCTCTGTTCTTTTCTTGTGTGTTTTCCATTTGGGTCCCATCCAATTATGTGGAATCATTGCTGTGAGCCCACCCTGCACCTTCCCACCAGGCAAGGCTGCCAAGCAGAGAATCCATTCTTAGTTCCACATTCCCATGGGAGCTTTTTATCCAAATCTCAAGAAGCCCAGAGCAATAACAGAGTGTAGTGGAATATGCACAGGTTGCTGTATCAGCGGGTGGTATGGGGGAGCAGAGGCTCCCCTCAGTAAGCCCTTCCTAACAGAGGCCTGGGAAAAATCAGAGGCAAATAGCATCCTAGGAAGGTAAGAGATGATGCAGCAGTGAGACCTGCCCCATTTCTCAGATCCCTGTGTCCTTCCTGCTGAAGCTTCAACATTTGATCTTTACATTAAGAGCTGTGGTTTGAGGTTCTCTGTGTCTTCCTGTTAACAAATCATATGGACACTAGAGAGATTATTCAACCTTTTGAGATGACATTCATCTTGGAGGCAGTTACAAGCACAGCCTCAGTGGCTTCTAAAAAGATGAAAGGGTGGTACACACCTTTAATCCCAGCACTTGGGAGGCAGAGGCAGGCAGATTTCTGTGAGTTCAAGACAGAGTTACATCCAGGACAGGCTCCAAAGCCACAGAGAAACCCCGTCTCAAAAAAATATATATAATGGCCTGGAGCCAGAGTTTAACATAAAACTCCCTATGAAAATCCTCAGCTGATAGGATATTTTCTTTTTGTTTGCATGATAGTCCAACTACTTCGACTGTGGTTTTGTAGATGGGATAGTGAAAAGTTCTGCTTGTGGCTTCAGTACTAAACTCCTCTGTGACCTTGAACCTGCCAATTGGCCTCTCTAGATCTATTTCCCAAATGTAGAAAGGAAACTGTACCTTCCAGAAGTGCTTCAGGGCTTCTCTGCTGTGTTTATTGTTGTATCCCTGTCACTGCCACAAGTAACTGTGTCAGTTGAGATGTACTTGAGTAGGTAGAGGAGGCAGTCTGATGTTGATTTCTGGCCTCCACTTACCAACACAAGTGTACAAACACAATCCCCCCACATTCAATCACTGCAACACCCACTACTGCAATCATCAACAACAACCCTCCCCTTTAAGTATAAAAAGTTTGATGCTGGCCATTTCAGTTCACAGCTATGGTCATCTGCTCTCCCTAAGTTGTCATTCCCCAGCTGCTCCATGACACCAGGTGAATGGAATGGCAGATGATATATATCTATATGTATAGTTCCCCTGTGCAGGTCTCACTTCTCTTTATATACCTGTGCATACCTGGCTCCTAGTGTTTCCTCAGAGAGCATTTGTTGAGCTGTTGTCTTGTGGTTTTAGTCTGCATTTCACTGATGAGTACTAGTGCTAAAGCATTTTCATACACTCCTTGGCCTACTCCTCCATTCTCTTTGGAGAAATGTCCTTTTAAACAATTTGCCTATTTGTAAATTTGCTTATGTATAATCACTTAATGTTGGGGTTCTGTTTAGTTGTAAGAGTTCCTTATGCAACTTGGATATTATCTCTTCATCAAATCACAGTTGAAACTGTTTCCCCTATTACTTCCATTGTGTTTGCACTGCATGGCTTGTCCCTTTGCAAAAAGGAGACTTTTTTGGCATAACCCCATTTGTCTCTCCCCTTCTGACTGTCATGGAGCATCACCAATACAAATGTTCTCAAGTTTTCCTATACAGTTTCTCCAAGGCTTTTTTTAAAAATAATTTCGAGCCTGATACTACATTCTTCAGTATACTTGAGATGATTATGGTATATGGGGTATGAAAGGAGTTCAGTATGGATCCATTCTTTTATGTATGGATATGAAGTTTTCAAACATTATT